TTTTTCCACTGCAGATTAGCAAATAAACACAAGTAAACCCATGTTCACCTTGCTTACTGGGTAATCCGACGCTGCAGCCTCACCTTTAGCTGACATCAAAGTCTGTAATACCTTTGGGTATGTTCTGGTGACTGGACCTGGTCCAGTTTCCTCCACATATCTGCTGCTGCCAAACCACAGCCTAAGTGAAGAGCCCTCTAAATGGACCCACCAGCGCCCTCTCCTCAACCCCAGAACCCGTAGCTCACGGGTTTGCCATGAGCATTAAACAAGAGAAATATTGGGAGTCTGCCCAGAGCCACCGCCAAGCAGGCCAAGCAGGCCCTCAGCAGAAAGCCTCTGAGTCTCCTCTCAGGCTGCCTTCAAACATCTTGCCTCTGGGAGCCATAAACTCTGTGACTGAATTCCTTGCAGCCATAAGAGGTTTCACAGCAACTTTATTCTCCAGGAGAGAGGTGGAACATGCCCTCCCTTCGACAGGAGGGGCGGGGGCAGTTACAGGCCTGTTTAATTTAATTTAACGCATTGTGGCTTGCCAGGTTGCCCCTGGTAACAGCTTCAGCTGCTGCTTCAGAAACAGTCAGAAGGATTTTAAAGAGACAGCCCCTGTTAGGGCCAGAATTACACAGCCTCCAGCAGCTTCACCACAGGGATGGAGGGTTAACACCCAGGAACTATGTGGTTTTGGACTACATCTGTTTATACCATTAACTCCTCTCCATCTCCACTGATTTCTTCTGCAATACCAGAAATCCCCCTGAAAATGTTACTTTGTTTTTTAAATGTATTTTTTTAATTTTTATTTATTTATTTTATGTGTGTACCGTCAAATTGGATCTGACTGGTACAGGAGGCGATTGTTCCTCCCTCTTCAGCAGAGCATCTGGTGGATTTGAACCGTGTACCTCTGGGATTGCAGTGCAGTTTCCTGCCACTAGGCCACCAGAGCTCGCCTTGAAAATGTTACTTTTAAGGAGTAGTTTAGGAGAGACAGTGTTTGGAGTGTCACACAGATATCACATGGCAACGCTTTTAAAAACAACAACAACAAAAAAGCAATCTTTAACGTGAAAAGAAGTTGGTATTTAGGAGTGGTGTCTGCAATTCAGATATATGACCACCAGGTGGTGGTATTGTATGCTTAGTGAGGAATATTGAACTGTGAACAAAGTGGTTGTGAAACCAATGGGTGTTAAATCCTGATACTATAGATAGAGAAGAGATTGAAGTTATCAATTACTGCTTGCTCGGCTCCACAATCAACACTCTTGGCACCAGCAGTCAGGAGATCCGAAAACAAATTGCCCTGGGAAAATCTGCTGTCAGGAACCTCTCAAGAGAACTGAGAAGCAACAATGTCAGTCTAGAGACTAAGTGCCCCTGATCCAGGCCATGGTCTTCACAATTACTTGCTATGCATCAGAGAGCTGGACAATGAATAAGGATAAAAAGAAGAATCGATGCCTTTCGGTTGTGGTACTGGAGAAGAAAATTGAACATTCCATGGACAGCCAAGTAAACAAACAGGTCTGTCTTGGAGAGGGTGAAACTGTTTCTTCTTGGAGCTTAGGATTTTGAAGCTCCATCTCACTTTCTTTGGGCACATAGCCAGGAAGGACCAGTCCTTGGAGAGGACATCATGCTGGAAAGGGTGGAGGGAAAGCCCAGGAGAGGAAGACCCAAGGTGAGATGGATACAGTAACTGGGGCAATGGGAGTAGGTGTGTCGGAGTCAGTGAGACTAGCTCAGATCAGGGCAGGCTTCAGTGCTGCTGTACATAGGGTCTTTATGGGTCACAGGCAACTGGACAACACAAAACAACAAATAGTGATTAATAATGGGTAAGTCACTTCACCTCACTACTTTCTATCCTAAGGTACATAATGAGATTGATCAAGATAGCTGGATGTTGTGCATAAATTTTGATGTTACGATCACAGAGTTTACATCTCAGCTGTCCTGTACTATTGTGATTTGGAGCATGGCATTGAATTTTTCACAACCTGAGCACAGAATAAGAGGGTGGCTCTAAGAGCCCTGAGAGAGTGAAAGTAAGCCTTAATTAAGGACAACACCTTATTCTCCAATACTGGAGACCCAAGGAGGTAAGAAAGGTACCCAGAACCCCACAGCAGTGGAGAGTGGGGACCACAGAGCCTGAGGCCTTGTTCCCCACAGGGAAATATCTCAGGTTGTGGGTGGACAAAGCCAGGTCCTCAATAGCTTTGATCTCACTTGACTCTGGTCAACCACAAACTGGCACATAGATCACTCATAGACTCAGGCTGGGAACTTGAGGCACTGTGTAATTGTGTTCCCTCACTGGGTCAGGCTTTAACATCACGTTAAGGTCTGTAGCCAGCCTGACCCACAATCAGTTGTTCCAATTCCCCTTCCTACAGTCTAGGTCCTGTAGCGATGACACAGATAGGCTTAAACAGCATCTCATCCTAGCCTTTTTCTTTAGCAAATGTCCTCTGCTTCTTAAGACTGCATTTTAACCCTTGAAACCTATGCTATTCCCTTCAGCCAGCTCTCTTCCCAGCTGAAGCCCCAACACACAAATTCCCACCTACAAGATACAGTGGCCCCTCTGTTGGGAATGCCTTTTCCTGTAATATCCACCTGAGTGCTTTAGACATACCCTTGAGCCCCGCTGCTCAGTACTGCCCTCTGGGGAGCTGTGAGGACACTCCTTGGTTGGGTAGGACAACTCTTCGTTCCCATAAACCCTGGGTTCCTTCAACTGTAATCATGGCTCTTAGGGCCTCAAGGGAAAGCCCTGCCTCATCTCTCTCCTAACCTTGTTCCCCAGCCGGGGCCACACAGAAGACATATCAGAAGTTATTGGCTGAGAAATGTCGTTGGTGAGGCCCTTGTCGGCCACCTGGCTCAGACCTGGGTTCCAGTCTCTGCCCTCGCCTATAGTACACTCAGTGGACTCTGATGCCCGTTGCTTTGAAGGCTGAGCCACAAGCTCCTCTCCAGACTCCGGAGGAGCATGCAAACAGTCTCCTCAGCAGCAGGAGCTCTGCCACATCCTTCACACCCCATGCTCACACCCCGTGCTTGTGTTCCGTGCTCACACCCCGTGCTCGTGCTCCGTGCTGGCCTTCCCACAGGCGCCTCCCACTGACATTCCTGTCTCTTGTCTCTTCTGAACCCTCCTTAAAAAACTCAAAACTCCTTGCCGTAGAGTCCAACTCACAGAACCAACTCTCAGCTGACCATCCAGTGGGTTGTGAGGGCAGTAAACTGTGCAAGAGGAAATTGACCCACTTTCTCCCATGGAGCCCACATTTGGTTGGAATCGCCAGACAGGAACAGCCTTTGGGGTTCGCAGCACACCTCCCTCTGGATGATGCCGCCAGAGCTCCCCTACACTCGCCATTGAAACTCCTTCATCCTCCATCCCTCAAATACCAGGGGTTCCATGTCACATTCTCTGCCAGGCTTTAGCAGCCCCCGGCTGAACCTTATCTTCACCACACTCATGGCCTTCACCATGGGTTGCTTTGTCTCACATACTTCGGGCATGTTGTCAGGAGCCACCAGCCTTTGGAAAAAGACATTATGCTGGAAAAGGTAGAAAGGGTCAGTGAAAGAGAGGAGGACCCTAAAAAAGATGAACTGAGATTTACCACAGTGACAATTACCTTTGTGCAGATAGTGAAGATGGCACAAGATAGGGCAAGGATTTGGCCCATTGTTCAAAGGGTTGCTGAGTTGGAGTCCACTGTGACAACAGCGTGAGTATTGGCACAGATGGACAATATCCTCCTACAAGGATTTACAGCCTCAGAAACCCAATGGGGGTTGTCTTGAGTAAGAATCAGTTCAACAGTGGTGGGTATGGCTATTGGGAAGAGTCTTTGGCTGGCACAGCTAAGCACTCAACTAATAGCCAAAGGTTGGCGGTTTGAAGCTTCCCCAAGGCATCTCAGAAGACAAGCCTGTTGATCTCCCAAAAGGTCACACACACAACCTTGAAAACCAATGGTTTGTCATGAGATTAAGTGAGATGATAGATGCAGAGATCCTGGCACACGCTTGGTCAGACCTTTCTTCTCAAGCCTAGATCTGTTCCTCCCGTCAGATTCTGAGCTCATCTGGATCAAGCAGGTCTCAGTCATTGCTGTGTCCCCAGGGCACCCCAAACAGGCACAGGGCTCACACAGGCACAGGGCTGAATCTGTGTCAAGATTCAGACACAGAAACACTGTGGAATGGAATGCCTTTGCCATAGTTGCTGGTAGGCAATTAGAGGTGAAGGGACGGGGCCCCTGAGCCGAGGAGGCCTCTGTGGGGGTGGGGGTGAGCACAGAACGGAGCCTTGAGATTAACGATAGATGAATGTGGAGGGAGGGACCAGCATCGGAGGCCGAGATGCTGATATGCACTAGGGGTTTTATTGGTTTTCATTAAAATTCCTTCCTGAGGCAGGAGCAGCTACTCCCATAAATAACGGCATAAATATTTTATCTGGTGCCCAAGTCAGTCTAAATGTGCAGCAAGGTTGGCAAGAATAATAACGGAAAGCAGTTCAGGGGGGTCCTGGGCTGCAGCTGAGCTGGACTCGCTTAACATGCCCAAAGGGGCTTTCCCAGAAAGGCAGAGGCTACGTGAGGGTGCAGACGGGGCTGCGCGTGAGAGAGGGTGACCAGCACAGTGGGAAGCTGGCTGGGGAGTCTAGAACACAGGTGGGGAGCCAGGTGGAGGAGAGCTTAGCTTGGACAGCAGGGCAGTGGGGAAAGGTACTTCACGCCCGCTCCATGACGGGCACTGTGCTGGGTGCTTTCACATTGCTTATCCCCTACCCCCACCCCAGACCCTCTGTAGCTGGAGAAGTGCAGTGGCTTGCCCAGGGATGCTGTAGGACCAAGTCTGTGCCCCTTCCCACTGTGCATGTTGCCTCTTAGAATGCAGGGAAGACACAAGAATCATTGTAGGATGACTTGAGTACTTTAGGAAGAGCACTACCGGCTTCTCTGCTCCTTTAGGTCCCCATGGAGGAGAAGAGGGGCTGGTACTTCACCATGGCAACACTCTTCATCAGGTCAGGCCTATTGGTGGTGGGTGGGAAGGGAGGGACAGGGTGTCCTGCATCCTTGTTTCTCCAGCCTGGAGGGTGAAGGGAGAGGTGACTGGGCCTATCTCCATGGCAAGAGCTTCCCAAGGTTCCCTCTCTGCCAAGAGCCTGGGGCAGCTAGGAGGGGGTGCCGACCAGCCACAAGTCCTTCTTGACCCTAGGCTAGATGGAATCTCCCTGGAGCTGGGCAGCGAGGAGCAGAAGCGGCTGCCTACCTTCAACCGCACCCTGGCTCTGCTCCGGCAGGTCCTCAAGTCTTTGGACCCTCACCACCAAGGTAAGGATGGGGGCAGGGGACGAGGGCTGGGAGAATGGCCACTCCCTGGACCTGTCACCACTCTGCTATCCTCACCTCTTCACGATCTCCCTTATTTTGGACTTGGTTTCTCTTTCTGGCTCATCCTCTATTTAATATTTGTCTGTTTACGACAAGGCTCTCACTCACTGAAAGGGTGGATACACCAGGTCTAAAGAACCACTGTTGCGAGCTTTTGAGGGTTGTCTCCTTACACTGCCCCCTCCCCACTTGGATGCTAGGGAGGCTTTAGTGGAGAAGAGTGGGACCTCACAGCTCAAACAGGAACGAGAAGAATGACCAGAGCTGGTGAAAAATTGAAGTCAGAAGAGAAACACGTGCCTTGAAGTGAGGTCACCTGAGTGCCATGCTCAACACAGAGACTCATTAAAATGTTTTCATTCAATCATTCCTGTCCCAGCTTCCCATCTTTGCCTCTCTGTTCCTGGGCTGGACCACCTTCAGTGAGTTCATTCCCTAGAGGAAAGGGTCACTGTGTTTTCCTTTAAGAGAGCTCTGGTTTACTCGGAAGGGAATTGCACTGTCAACCCAAAGGTGGTATCTCTGTGGCAGGTGGAATCCACAGGAGAAAGATGGGCAATCTCTTCCCAAGAGCCTTACAGAGTCCAAAACCTCACTGGAGGGGCAGCCATGAGTTACTTCTCACTTGATGACAACGAGTTTAAGGAGGGGGCTTGGGTGGTTTCCTTTAAGAAGCCTGGTGGAGCTCTGGTGGCCTAGTGGGCCAGGAGTTACACTGCCAACTGAAAGGCAGGCAGCATAAACCCACCAGTTGCTCCTCGGGAGACAGATGAGCATGCCCTTCTTACATGATTTTATAGCTTTTGAAAACCTGCTGGAGAGTCAGCAATGTGTCAGTTCCAACTTGACAGTAATGAGTTTGAGTTGAGTTTTGGTGGTATAATGGTTAAATGTTCAACTGCTAACCAGGTCAGCCATTCGAGTCCACCACAGGGATAAAGATGAAGCCATCTGCTTCTATAAAACTGGATCCTGGTAAACCCCATGGAGCAGTTCTACTCTGTCCTGTGAGGTTGCTATGGCTCGGAGGCAGTGGGATTGGGTTTGGGTTTGCTTTATCTTCATGAACACTAACAGCCCTATGGCTTCCTCGAGACCCCTCTCCCATCTCTCACCCTGAAATCCCTCTCCCGTTTCTCACTCCAGCTCTGGCCTGGTGCTACCTTGGTATGCTGCTGGAGAGAAAGGACACCTTCTCCACCACCCCACTGGGCATCCACGACTATGGGTACTCAGGGACTGACCCCTTGGATTGCTTCGGCAAGGTTTGTGCCCCACCCACTCCGACTCTCCCAGGTGGGATGGAGTCTGACCCCCGGTCTTCCCTTCCAGAACCTCTGCTTTTCCCCTGGTATCTCCCCCTACCATGTCCCCACCCAGGAAAGGCCCCATCTCTGGACTTTTCTCTCCATCCTTATTTCATTCAAAACAAGTAGCAGTGGTTCTTCTTTGACTAATACCTTCTGCCAATCTGGCCATTTATTTCTCTGGCTCCTTGTCTAATCTGATCACCATTGTCAAAATATGCCTCCTGACTTTCTCCTTCTACAGGGGTCCCCTTTCTCCCACACCCCAGTGACCAAGTGGAAAGAAGGTGGATTTAGCTGGGGTCCCCTTGTCAGCTCTGCCCTATTACAGGACATCTGACTTAAGACAAGTCACTTGGACCCTGGAACCTTTGTTTTCTTGTCAGTTCATTAATGTCTGTCTACCTTGCCGGTTAGTGAGAGACTCACAGCAGGCAGTGGGCAAAGTGCTGTCCAAGTTTAACTAGTGGCACCTCATTTATACTGGAGCTTCCACACTTCGCTCAGTTTTGAAGTCTTTCCTAGAAGCCAGAGGCCTTGTGATGCCCATTCACCTGTGCACTTACCACAATGCCCCACTTAGAACGCCCCTTAGTTTTTGCTGGCAGGTCCATTAAGGAGCAGTTTCATGGTGGAAGATCTTCGATAAGCCAATGCAAAACCCCTTCTGGGTCACGAGTGTCCAGAGAGTTGAGCCCGTATTAGCCAGCACATTCCTTCTGCTCAGCTTCTTTGAGAACCTGCTGTGTGCCAGGTTATAGAGAGGAGCGGGCCGGCCGCTGCCCAGTGAGGGTTCACCATCAGGGGCAGCAGCACACAGAACAAGGCAGTCCACAGAGAAGTATGTTGTGATGCGGACAAAAAACACAATGCTGCCTAAGCCTGGGAGCGGTGGAGGGGAGCGCTGGCCTCCTCCGCCTCGCTGCCCTCGGAGAAATGGAGGTGACAAGTGGGAGAAGTTGCCTGGGGTCTCTGCACATGATTGATGAGTATGGCAGGAAGTACAGCGGTGAGTGGGACTCTCAGGAGTTAAGTGGCACTGGGTTGTATGCCCGAGTGTTGAGTTCCTTCCTGTGTCTGCCCTTGGTGGTGGATAATGGAGAGAAGTGCTTTATGGTAACATGACTTCATCAGAAGTAGGATTTGTATAGGTTAAGCACTGTTCAGCTGGCTGGCTAACCACCAGGTTTGCTTTTCTCCGCTTTCCTTACCCAGGCCATCGAGATTGCCAAGGACCACCCCCTGATCCTAAACCGCCTGGCCAAAATCTTCCACTTCCTAGGAAAGCAGGATATGGCCATTGGGACCTGCAACATGGCGCTTGACGTCCTACGAGATCCAGAGCTCAACTGGCAGGCGTACTGCACAAGGGCCAAGGTAGCCAGGGGGTGGGCAGGGGGGTCAGCCTGCAGTCCCACCTCATCCTGATGCTAGCAATCAGAAAACAAGGCCAGGATCAAGCCCCCATTTCAAGACTCCAAAAGTCATAGAACCTTCCTGTTGGAAAGGAGCTTTGATGTTAGCAAGGCACATAGTTTGTGTCTTAGATGGCTGTTGAATGAAAGAATGAAGGAGTCTCCCACCCATTGCAGGAGACCCTGGTCAGTGACTTTCCAGCTTCTGCCTGGTTAGCACCCAAGTGGAGTCAGACTTATCTGGATTAAAACTTTGTCCTTTGTCTCTGATGGCCTAGTGGCAAGAAGGTGCGCTGCAATCCCAAAGGCACACGGTTCAAGTCTATTAGCTGCTCCACACGAGAAAAAAAGGCAGTCTCCTTCCATTTGATTTAACTGCCTCTGAAAACCCCCAGGAGGGCTAGCTATGGGTTGGTTCTGACTTGATGGTACACAACACAACAACAACAACATATGGCATTGTCTGTAGGGCGTTGCACTGATCAGTCAAAGATGGCAGTTCAAACCCGCCAGCCATTCTAGGAAATCTCCTCCCTTATGATTTACAGAAAATCCACTGGAGGGTCAGCTATGGTTGGTTCTGACTTGAGGGCTATGAGTTGAGTTGTTGAGTTATATTATGTGAAATTTCTGGCAAGTCACGCCTCCCAGTCTCAGTTCCCAAATTTGTAAGGTGTGAGCAGTAACATGTATTTCAAGAAGTCATAAGTAACATCTAAAGCACAGTTCCTGTAGCATAGAAGGTACTTTTGAGAAGCAGTAAGGGGTCCTGGTGATGCACAGGTTAAGCTTTCAGATGCCAGTATTACTCCCTGCTTCTGTTGATGGATGCTGTCAAGTTGACAGCTACTCATAGCAACCCCGTTTGACAGAATAAAACCACACATAGGGCTTGCGAGGCTGTATCCTTTGCAGAAGCAGATCGCCAAGGCTTTCTCCCATAGAGCCACTGAAGGAGTTTGAACAGCAACAACAGAGAATATCAAAGGCAGTTTAATGTTTTGAATCAGAACTTTAGCTCTGACCACAGCCAGCCTTGGTTCAAACCCCACTTTGCCACTTATAAGTAGTGGAACTGTAGGCAAAAAAATCATCCTGCCCAAACTCCAGGGCTCATTTTCTACATCTGTAGATGATAGTGTCGTCTTCATCTGGTTGCAACGAGAATTGAATTAGATTTTTGTGTGTAAATCTCGACACGGAGTAAGCTGCAAGTACACAAGTGATTGCCATTATCTGGTGGCTCTTTTAAATGGCTCACTGTCTCTTGAGACAGTCCACAACATAGTCATTTAGCTCTGTTGTTGTTGTTGTTATGTGCCATTGAGTCGCTTGTGACTCATAGCGACCCTATGTACAAGAGCCCTAAACGCCGTTCTATCCAGTGCCAACCTAGCCATCTCAAACACACTCATTCCCACCACTCGTCACAAAATCGATCCATCTCATCAAAGGACTTCCTCTCCTGTGCCGTCCCTCCACTCTGCCAAACATGATGTCCCTCTCCAAGGACCAGTCCCTCCTTGCAACATGCCCAAAATATGTCAGACGAAGCTTCAGAATCCTTGACTCCAAGGAGCATTCTGGCTTCACCTTCTCCAGGACAAACCTGTTTGTTCTCTTAGCAGTCCATGGTATATTCAACACTCTTCTTCAGCACCACAGCTCAAAGGCATCAATTCTCTTTCTATCATCCCTACTCACTGTTCAACTCTCTGATGTATAGCACGTAATTGTGAAGACTATAGCCTGGATCAGGTGCACCTTAGTCTCCAGCCTGACATTGTCGCTCTTCAGTACTCTTGAGAGGTCCCTCACAGCTGACTTTCCCAATGCAATTTGTCTCTTGATTGCCTGGCTGCTGTTACCAAGAGTGTTGACTGTGGAGCCAAGTAAACGAAAACTGTTAACTGTCTCAATTTCTTCACCATCCATACTGATGCTGCCAATTGGCCCAGTGGTGAGAATCTTTGTTTTCTTGATGTTGAGCTTCAGACCATATTGGAGGCTGCAGTCCTTGAGCTTCTGCAGCAAGTGCTTCAGGTCCTCCTCAGTTTCAGCAACAGGGTTGTGTCATCTGCATAATGCAGGTTGTTGATAGATCTTCCACCAATCCTGATGCCACATTCCTCCTTGTACAGCCCTGCATCTCGGATGATCTGTTCTGCATACAGATTGAAAAGGTATGGAGACAGAATACATCCCTGACGGACCCCCTTCTTGATTTTGAACCATGTAGTGTCTCCTTGCTCTGTCTGACAATTGCCTCTTGGACCAAGTATAGGTTTCGCATTAGCACAATCAAATGTTCCATTCTTACAGCTTGCTGTGATCCACACAGTCAAAAGCCTTTGCACAGTCAGTGAAGCACAGATAGACACCCTTTTCTTGTGTGTTGGACATATCATTTGGCGTGCAGGTAGAGAGCAGGGAATCCCTTCACTGCAGCTAAAGTACTTAGTATTAAACAATAATTGTAAGAGTAAATCTGAAAGCATTTCTGTCACATTCTTCATTCACCAAACACCTTTCTGTTCTCACTAGCATCCTATGAGAGGGAAGCCAGATAAGCCCTTCTACAAAAGAAGCAATATTAGGTCAGAGAGGAAGCATTCAGAGAGGTCCTGCATTCAATTCCGTTCAAACTCAACCACAATTCAATACCAAGTATTGTTGTTGACTTTCTTTGACTTCTGTCTTCCCAGCATGCTTGCTACCTCCCTGTAACTCCCAAGGTCATGCTTTCGACTCACAAGACCAGACTAGCAGCAGGCTTCAGGGAAGGGACAATGAGGAGGAAAGAACAGAAAGGAAGGAAGCCCACTTTGCCTTTATAAAGCCTTTGTCCACAGTGTGACCCATAAACCCCAAAGAGACCTGATCCTGGCACCTCTCAGCCTTACCTCCCTCTGCCCTGTCCCTTGCTCCCTTTTAGCCACACCAAACTCCTTTCTGTCCCTCAACCTGTGAGATAAGATCTTGCCTCGAGGCTGGTTCTTCTTCCCTCACTTTCTATATGTCTTGACCCAAAAAGCAGCTTCTAGTGGCCATCTTGTTTAAAATATCAACCCTTTCACCAACATTTTATGTCTTCTTCTTCAGTCTTGCATTTTCTTTTTTTATCACTTAACACATCATTTACTTAATTGTCTCTCCACGCAGTGCCTAGAATAGCACCTGACCTCCTGGTGAATGAACTGACCACCTACTCCATGCCAGGGCCTCTCAGTCGTCATGGTGACGCCTCCAGGAGGATATCAGTGTGCTGATTTTTCTGGATGTGGAAAATTAAGCTCACTAAGGTTTTGCAATGTCTTCCAGGTCATGTAGCTAATAAGTAGAGGAGGGAGGAGGAGTTCTGCCCCATCTCATAATAGTGTCTTCTCACCAGAGCCCACCTGGTGGTTGGAAAACAGGAACACCTTACACAACAATGGCCCTCATTTTTTTTTTACTTCCTCCTGCCCATTCATACCCTACTTCTCCTGACCCTTTCAAAAACTCAAACTTCCTACCATGGTGTTAGTTCTGCCTCATAGTGACCCTCCATCCAGTTTCTGGAGCTGTAAATAACAAGAGGAGAGTGCCCACCTTTCTCCCACAGCCTCTGGTGGGTTCAGACTCACAGAGACACATAGCCTTTGCGTTAGCAATGGAACTTCCTATCAACTAAACCACTAGAGCCATTCCTGAACCACGAGATTGTCTGAGTGCTCTGAGTGCAGGGAAAGGAAGAAAGTAGAGCTAAAGTTGGGTCCTGGAATCATTTAAGCACTTGGAACTTGAGGTCTGTTCTTCCCAGGTTGCTTACTTAAATGGTAGTAGTAGTAGTAGTAGTAGTATGCTGCTGCATAGCTTTCAACTCGTGGTGACCTATTACAGTTGTCGTTGTGTACTGTTGAGTCAGAACAGACTCATAGCTGACCCTCTGGTGGGTTTTCAGAGGCAGTTCACCGCATGGGAGGAGATTGTCCAACCTTCTCGCATGGAGCAGCTGGTGGCCTTAAACCATGTGCCTTTGGGACTGCTGTGCAGCTTCTTGCCACTAGGCCACCTGACCTAGTACTGTTGTTGTTGTTAAGTGCCATCGAGTCGAGCACAATTCATAACAACCCTATGAACATCATTTCTCTAATGTTCATAGAGTTTCCAAAGGCCTGTTGCTTAGGAAGTGGATGCCAATCCTGTTTCCAAGCCTGTCTTAATCTGGGAGCTCCACCAAACACCACCATGGGTAATTGAGGGGACAGCATAAACCCCATTTTTTATATATACCCTCTTAATACCAGAAGCAGAATCGGGCCATAAAAATTCTTAGCTTAAGGCAAACACAAATGCCCTGGCTAGAGTCTTATCTGTCCTTGCAAAGTAAAGAATTAACTAGTGTCTGCATGATACAAAAAGAGTAAAGGTGGACAAAGTAGCCAGCCCATCAAAAGCTGACCCACATGACTGATTCCCCGGCCCATCAACCATGCCCTCAATCTCCCCGCCCCGACAGGAGCACCCAGGAAAGCCTTAAAAAGGATTGTGCTGGGGGACTCGGGGCTTTTTCCCTCGCCACCTTTCTACTGAGGGAGAAAGTCTCCACATGTGGAATTTAATAAACTCTCTTGAATTTTCATATGTGTGATAATTTAATATCCTTTGAGGGGCATTTCGTGGGCAGAACATAACCATTATGGCATTTGACACACGAGTAGCACAGTGTTCAGTATCACAGCAATTCCAAGTTATATAAGTAGTATAGCAAATTGACAGATCAGTCTTGTACTACTTGGGAGAATGTTCTTCCCAAACACAATTAATACCAGTGGCCCCCTCAAGCCCAGCCAATAATTTAAATGCAAAGGCCTACCTAACACGTCCTGACTGACTTAAACAAGAGGCTTCCTCCACACAGCTGGTTGTTTGCTAAAACCAGTAAATCCAATCAGCTCACACACTATTGTGAACGAAATAAAAACCCACCAAACAGTTTACACCTGACTTTCTCAACTAAACAAGAGAACTCACCCACCAGAATCCAACTGCTTCACCCAAGAGCCAGGGCTAGAATGAATGCATTGTTGCGTGCCATCGAGCCAGATCTGACCCATAGCTGACCCTCCAGTGGGTTTTCAGAGGCAGTACATCTGGCGGGAGGAGATTGCCCATTCTTCTCCAGCGGAGCAACTGGTGTATTTGTATTGGTGGATTACAGCACAGCTTCTTACCACTAGGCCACCAGAGCTCCCTGGAATGAATTTAGTATGAGAGAATGAAGCATATGCCATCTTTATTACTGTATGTTTAGTTCACTGTTGTAGCTGCTTTTGTCAATCCATCTCATTGAGGGTATAGACTCACAAAATTGGTATTGCTTTCAAATCTCCCACCCTTCCCTCTTCCAGTCACCTCTATGCCCAAAGAACTGAGACTCATGCTATTGAGTTACTTCCTACTCATAGTGACATTCCGTCGGATTTCTGAGGCTCTAAAGCACAAGAGAGCTCTGGTGCTGTAGTCAGCGGGGAGTTGCAGTGCTGTCTCAAAGGGGTTTCTCTGGCTGTTTTAATCCTCCAGCCTCACTGAGGGGGGAACGACGGACCATCTACTCCCATTTGATGTACAGCCTCGGAAAACCCCCTGGAGGGTCAGCTGTGAGTCAGTTCTGACTCAGTGGCAATGAGTTTTGAGTTTTTAAATAAATCACAACAGGAGGAGATCACACATCTTTCTCCCTCAGAGCCACTGGTGGATTTGAACCACTGGAGGCGCACAGCCATGGATTAGTAGTGCAACTCGCCATGTCCCACACCACCAGAATCCCCTCTATTCCATCACTCCAGATTTCTTCACAGCACCTAATGCCACTCAAAGTGACATTATTTACTTTTTGTTCATGAGTGTCTCTCTTATTAGAACATTAGGTTCTACCAAGGCAGAGACTTCATCTGTCCTGTTGCCACCACACCTCCATTAGAGCCTACCCTGTACTGGGCACTCAGTATCTGGTTGTTGACCGAATGAGTGTAGGGCTCCTATGTCATTAATCCCTTCATTGTACGCATTGGGAAACTAAGGTCCAGAGAGCAGAGGGGCTAGTCTACGCAGGCACACCATAGGCCATAAGACTCTGACTCCCAGTCGTGGGGCTTTTAGCTGTACCACAGAACCTCCATGAGTTCTTGGAGGAAAGCTTGGTTTCCATTAAGGCAGAAAGGAGGGAGGTGGCCCTTGCTTGGAGAATCTTCCCTGAATTGACTCTCTCGACTTGCAGATCCACATCAAAGCCTACCTGCATGACCTGGAACGGGCCAAGATGGGGCTCGGGGGCATGCCTGACAGGAACCACTTGGCCTGCGCCAAGGCTGACCTGGAGGAAGTGGTCAAGGTGTGCCCAGGCCTCAAGACCTACCTGGACATCGGCCAGGTAAAGCAGCCCCTTGGTGTAGCTAGTCAATGGTTAACCAAGAACTTACTTTCTGCCTATTCAAGCCGGGCCACTGAGGGCACAGGGGTGAATAAGGCTGTCTCCTGGCTGTGCCCACCTCTGACAACATGGTGAGGAGGAAATGAGACGATGAGTGTGTATCACTTATAACAGGCTGTGGCACTCATTAAGTGTGCAATCAGTTAGAAGCACCTTCTGTACTCAGGGAATGACTATGAAGAAGGTGACAATACCACTTTGTTTTTCTTTCTATTCGAATGTGAGGTCCAGAGATTGACACATTCGGGGTTGTATGGCTGAGAGTAGAGGGGCTGGAACTGGAATGAGTATGGAGTATTGCCACCTTTTCCAGTCAAGGATCCTAAGAGTGGGACTTGAATAGTGTAGGAAGCTCTGGTGGCCTAGTCTATAGGGAGTTGCATCGCCAAACCAAAGCAATGGCTCTCCAGAGATTCGAATCCACCATTGGTTCCACAGGAAGAGGATGGGTAATGGCCCATGAGATTTGCAGCCTCCTGAAAACCCACTGGAGGGGAGGGAGACACAATTTGTGAGTGATAATTGTTGAAGGTAGAAAGTGGGAGGACTAACTGGCTGAAGGAAGGGAGAAAATGTGGAAACAGACCAAAGGGGAGCAGTGACAGATGGGAGGTAATCTCACCTCTCCACCACCTGTCGCAGGTGTACTACTACATGGGCGTGGACGCAGTCCAAGAGCTGATGGCGGTCGACGAGGCGGCGCTGAACCAGGCCCTGGTCTTCCTGGCCAAGGCAGGAGAGTCAGAGTTGGGCGCGACGTTGCCAGAGGTACAGCTGCTTCGCGGCAAGTGTCTACGCATCAAGGGCGAGGAGGCTAATGCTGCCGCCTGCTTCAAGCGCGCCGTGGAGCTGGACGACGCAGGTTCCAGCCACACCGAGGGCTTCGGCTGCCTGTTGGAGGCGCTGCTGGCGCAGTGGAGCCTGGCGCAGCTGAGCGATGGCGAGCTGGTGGGGGAGGTGGACACGTGGTTGCGCCGCGCCCGGGCCAAGTACCCTGCTGCGCGCTTGCGCCAGGAACTGCAGCGCGTGTGGCGCGGACACACGGACGAGGTGCTGGGGCTGGCCCGCGCCTTGGTGGCCCAGGGCCGGCTGGAGCTGGTGCGTTTGCTCTTCGAAGCCATGGAGCAAGAGGGCGAGGGTGCCACGGGCGAGGGCGCGGCCCGAGGCCAAAGGACACTGTCCTTCTGAAGAGCCAGCACCCAGGTCAGAGCTGATTGAACAAGTACTGAGTGCTCGAAGGACCTCACCCTGCCCCTTAGACTGGAGGAAGCGCAGACCCAATCAGATTCTCCCTTGGCATTTGAATGAGGACACTGAAACCTGGAATTGTTGACTTTACCTGTGAAAGAGGAAAGGACTGATTTAGGAGAGGGAGGGAGGCTGGGTGTGAAATCCTCCGGGAAGCTGCCACTTGAGGCACGGAAATTTGCACACATGCAGAGGAAATGAAATGACTGCAGTCTCCAGAGACAGAAGCTCACTGCTTTGGCTGTGGTGGTTTCTAGTCCCTGGGGCCTGAGTACCTGTTCTTTGGAACCCCATGAACCAAATACTCTATCTTTAAAATTAACTCCCCTTAAGTTGGTAGTCTTGGGTGGCAGCAAGCATTTCCCATCATCTCCTTACCTAAACTGAGCACCAGTAGGCCTGATGGGTAAGGAAACACTGCAAGCTGAAGGCAAGCAGTTCAAATTCACCAGCTGCTCTTTGGTAGAAACATGAGCCATCTTCTCTGGTGCAATTTACAGCTTCTAAAAACCCACTAGAAAGTGAGTGATGAGTCGGTTCTGAGTCGACTGCAATCAGAGAGAGTTACCTAATGAAGTTTGGTCATTTGAAAATATCAAGCAGTGCTGCAAAAGAAAGGCCTGGTGATCTGCTTCTGTGAAAATGACAGCAGTTCTGTGAAGCCGTTCTCCTGTGTCACGTGTTAGTCATCAAGAGTAGGAATTAACTCAGTGGACTTCAGGTTTGGTCTTTTATATGTTGGGTTTTGCCAAGTGCCAGGTTTAGTGCCAACCTTAGTTCCATGCTCTGGGGCTATTAGCAGAGAACAAAACAGAACCTGTTCTTGACTTAAGAACCCTTCACAGTCTGTGGAGCTGGTGAGGCTGTGCCAGGTGGGCCATAGCGGGGTATTTGGAAGAACACTGGGAGGCCGTGCAAAGGTTTCAGCAGGCAGAGCTGGCTGTCTCAACCCCTCCACATGAGCCAGACTCATTCTGTGTTCATGGCCTTTCCAAGGCCCACTGTCTGTGTTCGTGGCCTTTTCCTGCCCTGGGCCATAGGCTCTGGCCCTTGGCCACCCCTCTGCAGGAAGCCAACTGCTCAGGCCAAGCCAGGCAGTCTCCTGGGGCTGGAACTCCAGCTGGTAGGGGGAGGCCAGTGGGTGGGTGATCTTTATTTAATTACAGCTTTGAGCCCTGTGTGACTCCACTGCCCACTGGGCTGCTGAGAGGACAACTGTCACGCAGCTGAAGCAGTAGGAGTTCCTCGGGGGAGCACTCCAGAGTGAAAGCCTTAATAGCCCCATAATCAGAGTAATGAAGATGAATCACACCTTGTGCTGCCTGCCCACTCCTTCCTATCTACACCCAGCAGCCAGCATCAGGCAGCCAGCAGCTCCCACTTAGCCAGAGTGAGCGAGGCATGTTAAAGATCAGGAAAACGGGGGCATTTCTCAGCTGAAGGTTTCTAGAGTCTCCGAGCTGGAAAAATCCTTAGTCATCATCTCTCTTCAAGCCTCCCAATCCAAAGTGGTGAGCATGCTTAAAGGCACTTCTAAACCACTGGCGTGCTTTCAGCAGACAGGCAGCTCACTACCTGATGAAGGAAATCTATCATTTGTGTTTGTTGTTTTATAGTAGTTTCAGTGAATATTTACAGATCAAACCCATTTCCTATTCAGCAGTTTGTACACAGATTGTTCCTTAGCATGGATTGTATGCCCCACAATGAACCAGTCCTCTCCCATCTCTTCCCATTTCCTCTCTGGGTTCCCTGTGTCCATTTGACCAGCTTTCCTGCCTCTTCTTCATCTTCGTGTTTTTTTTTTAATTTTATTTCAATATCTCTATGCCTCACAGGGGACTCAACCAATAACATTCTATGACATATTTGGATGCAGGAGTAGCATCCACTTCCCAAACAACATGCCTCCAGAAACTTTGATAAATGTCGATAGTTGTAGAGGGGCTTCAGGCCTTTTGTTCATAGGTTCGCCATGAGTTGTGCTCTACTCAAAGGCAATCAATAACAACAATTTCAGTGTTGAGGAAATGCTGCCCTTTTGAGAGGCTCAATCCACTTTTTTTTTTTACAAATATTTTGGTATGTTTATTTCCTTTTTCATAGGTAGAAAATACAGTATCAATATAGATCTTTTCTAGAAAAGATAAACTTTTATAGGGCATCCATGGGTAGTGTAAATGGTTAACCACTTAGCTGCTGACTGAAGGCTGAAAGTTTGAGTCCATCCAGAGGCACTTTGTTAGAAAGGGCTGGTGATGTACTTTTGAAAAATCAGCCATTGAAAACATTATGGCCTACAATTCCAGTCTGAAAGAAATGGGTCACTGTGAGTCAAAGGCAAATGTGTAGAAAAGCTGTTGCGTTTTAAACACTGGTTATTTTTATGATAGATTTGCCTAGGAGTAGCTACGTGCTCATACAGTGATGAAGTTTTTCATTGTTCAATCTTAACACTTAAAACTCTGAAGATAAAAAAAATAAAGACCGATTTGTAAAACTGGACCATTTTAATGTTGTTGTATCATAACAAATAGTTCTCTTGACTGCAGGACTTCTTAAGAAAGGCTGTTTGGTAGCATTCGGAAGTACATGGTAATGCTGGTTTTCTGACTGGTTTGTATCAGTTGTCAAAGTGCTATTAGACCAGTAAGACAGCATTTATGCAGCCATCATTTTCAGGATTGTTGGTAACCTGGGCATATCTCCCCCAAATAACCTTGCCTCCTTGTGTCACAAGGCCCAACTCACTCACGTTCACCTCAATGATGGTACCTTTGGTAATAACACCTAAAGTTGTATACAGTGGGGATGAAGGATTCTTTTTTACACCAAGTATTGGCAGGCAAAATGTGGCTTTAAGTTCAGGATGTGTTACATGTGCCTTCTTAAACCGTAAGCCCATTGGTCTGATGAATCTTTCATATTTAGGTGGTTTTCGTGTAAAACCACCTCCAACAAAGCACACTTTAGTAACCATCCTCTTCCAGGCTTTTTTTTTTCTCTTTCCTGTTTGAATAACTTTCAGTACTTCTGTTTCTCCCTGGGCACGAACTTCGGGGAGAGGGACTTCCCATTTTCCCACTTTCTCTTTGCGTTTTTGTTTAATCATGTTGGAAAGTACTTTAGCTTGGGATTGCCCCTCTCTGTCCAACAGATAGGCAGGTACTGCCCCTTGTGGAGTCTTCTCATTGTTCTTTTGTTTGGTGTTTCTTTTTTCATGCATCTTGATAGTCTTTTTCATTTGTATTTTCTCAGCATGACGCTGCTTATGGTAGAGCTTTGCCTTCAGACCAATCATCTTCTTTGCCTTCTTTGAACGCTCATGAGCCTCTCGACTTTCTTTCTTTCTCTTTTTCTCATGGTAATCCAAATGGTACCCATAGCGCTTTTGGTGTAACTCAATATACTCATTTTGTGGCATGGTGACAGCAGCAAAGGCCCCAGGCGCAGTGTCCAGGGCGCAAAGAAGATCTCAATTTTTGGGTCTCGGAGACCCACGAGCCGCCTCTACGCACGGCCGAATCTGGAAAAGCTCAATCCACTTTTGAACAAACCTAAAATCCCACTGAAAACCCACTGGAGGGTCAGCTATGAATTCGTTCCAACTCCATGACACAACAACGTTCCCTGGAAAGGGACGTCATACTTGGAAAGGTCAGCAAAAGGGAGGGTGTCCCCCTCAATGAGATGGATTGACAGTGACTTGAGTAATAGGCTCAAGTGTGCCAGAGAGGATGCAGACGGCACAGGATAAGACAGGGTTCAGATCTGTTGTTCACTGGGTCACTGTGAGTCGTATTTGACTAAGTGGCACTTAACAACAAGATCCCTGAATAGTAAGTGATTTTTGATTGGCTGCTAATGTAGAGGTGGGCAGTTCAGATTCACCCAACAGTGCCATGTAGGAAAGGCCTAATGATCTGCTCCATAAAGATCCCAGCCAAGGAAACACAGTGGAGCTGTTCTACTCCCTAACACATGGATTTACCATCAGTCAAAATCAACAACAGTGAGTTTGTTTGGGGGAGGAATTGTGTTATTGTTTGGGCTTAGTTTACTTATATCTTCTCCTTTTATGGAGTTGAAATCTTTCCTATAATTCTCATTCCTTGATTTAAGGTCACCTTCTGGGACCAAACAGAATAAACGCTAAAAAGCGTGGAGGCCCTGAGCAAGTCACTTCCCTCTTGCTCCTAGTCTTTCTTTCTGTTGTGGCACCAGTGAGGGCCAGGTGGGGCTCTGCCAGCTTGGAGCCGCTACCGGAGGGGCCCAGCAGCTGAAAGCAGAATACAACAGGCCTTCTCCCCATCCCTAACGAGGCCCCAGGGGAACACCCGGTGTGGATGGTGGTGGCTAGATGCCAAATGAAGTGAAATATCTTCTTTTCTCAGGCTGTTAACTTTTTTTCTTGTTTAAGGAATGGGAGGATAATGGCATTTAGCACTTTACAACTCAGCAGTAAAACGAGCAGATGGAAACAGATCCCTGGCATCAGAGGCGTGCTTCGCAGTGAGAAAGCCTTCCCAGCTCCACAGGCCAAAGCCACTGGTAGGGCTTGCTGATGGGGTTAGAGAGTGGCTGGCTTTCCTCCTCCTCCCCGTAGCTCCTTCCCAACTGCAAGATGCACACAACTCCCCACCTGCCCTATTCTTCTCGCTCCTGGGCCTCTGCTTACAGCCCCACCTGCCTAAAGCACCATTGCTCTCAGAAGACCTTGTAGTCCACCTCAGAAAAACCAGCCCCTGGAAGCACGATGGGGCACAGTTCTACCCTGGCACAAGCGGGATCACCATGAGTCAGAACTAACTCTATGACGACTAGCTAAGGATTTTAGACGTTGTTGTTGTTATGAGCCTTAGAGTCGCCTGCGACTCCTAGTGAGCTTATGTAGCTTTGAAGCCTGTCCTATTCTGAGCCAATCTCACTAACATCGGCACACATATCCCAATACCCCAGTCACTGAGTCAAGCCATCTCATCCGGGGTCTTCCTCTCCTACGCTGTTCTTCCACCCTACCAAAAATGATGTCCTTCTCCAAGGACTGGTCCCTCCTGGCAAGATGCCTCCAAGGAGCGACTTGGTTTGGTGAGCAAAGCTAGAGCTGTGGGAACGCTCCAGCTGGCCACCAGGTGGCCACAGAAGAACATTTGGAGCAGGAAAGCCTCCCACAGTGAGGTCATAGATAACTGTCTTTATCATCACTATCAAAGCTATTGAGTACTTGCTGTGGGTCAATCACTGTTACCTGTGTCTTAACATCTTGCCCCGTTTAACTTTCACAAACCGATGAGCATGCTTCAGCATTATCCACAATTTTTTATTGTTATTAGATACCACGAGTTAACACCAGATTGAAACCTTGTCCTATCGTGTGTCATCCTCATGCTCTCCGCCAGGTTCCAGCCCATTGCTGCAGTCACTGTGTCAATCCATCTCATCGAGGCTCTTCCACTCTTTTGCTGATCCTCTACTTTTCCCTAGAATGATGTCTTTTTCCAAGGACTGGCACCACCTGACAAGTTGCTTAAAGTATGTGAGATGACGTTTCACCGTCCTTGCCTTCCTTCCACATAAATGTGCTTGTTCTTTTGGAAGTCCATGGGATACTCAGCACTCTTTGCCAACACCACAATGCAAAGGCACAGATTATTCTTTGGCCTTCCTACCATTATTCTTACCTTTGTCCTACCATTATTCACATGCATATGAAGCAATTGAAAATATCATGGCTTGGATTAGGCACACCTTGGTTTTCAAACTGATATCCTTACTTGTTAGCTCTTTAAAGGGGTCTTTGATAGCAGATTTTCCTGATACAACAGGTCTCTGGTTTCTTGAATGCTTCTACCATGGCTGTTGATTGTGAATTCAAGTAATATTAAATTGTTGACAACTTCAATCTTGTCTTTATTTATTATGATGTTGCCTATGGGTCTAGTGGTGAGAACTTTTCTTGATATTGAGATGTAATCCATTCTGAAGCTCTTTAATAAGTCTGATAAGTGCTTCAAGTCTTCCTCACTTTCTGCGAACAAATTTGTGTGTCCCATGCAGAATGTAGATTGTTAATGAGTCTTCCTCCAATCCTGACGCCACATTCTTCTTTATAAAGCCCAGCTTCTCAAATGATTTGCTTCACAGACAGATTGAATAAGGAGAAATGCTACAACCTTAACACACACCTTTCCTGATTTTCAACCATGTATCCTCAAGTTACAGATGAGGAAACTAAGAAGTTAGAAATCTTCCCACCACATTGCTTTGAGTGGCAGGCAGACAAAGGAGTAATAAGGAATGGTTTTTTAACTGTTTATAGTTTAGATTACTTTCTCTTCTCTGTTACATATTTGTTGTACAAGTGGTGGTGGTTGTTACGTGCCATCGAGTCAAGTATGACTTAGAGTGACCCAATGAACTGAACCCTCCTGGACCATGAAGACTTATAAAATCTGATAGGATTTTTCATGTTTCTGTTTTCAAACCACTCAGTAACTCTGTAGTGAGACTTGTACTGTTTTGGCATGTAAATGATTTCATTAAACTGCAGCTCCTCTGTGAGTTGTATTTTGTCACCACCCACAAAGTGCATGAAATGAAAGAACTCCTGCTGTGATAGTTTTATCTGCCCACTGCTCCTTCCTCCTGGGACGAGCATACCCTGTCTTTGAGAGGTAAGAACCTGTGAGTGGTGAAAATGGTTAAACACTTGCTAACTGAAAGGTTCATATGGTTTCGTACCATATGTTAGGACAGGCTATGTCATTCTTGGAAAGATAGAGGGTCAGCAAAAGAGAGGAAGACCCTCAATGAGATGGATTGATAGTGACTTTGGGAGTGATAAGGATGGCACAAGACAGGACAGGGTTCAGACCTGTTGTTCATAGGGTCGCTATGGAGCCATGGAACCTAACAACAACAAATGAAAGGTTAGAGAGCACTGCTGACCTAGGGTTAGGAGATGTGCTGCTAACCCAAAGGCATGCAGTTTGAATCCACCAGCTGCTCTGTGGGAGAGAAACAGGCAATCTCCTCAGATGTGATTTACTGCCTCTGAATATTCACCAGAGGGTCAGCTATGAGTTGGCTCTGACGTCACAGTATAAATCAACAACTGAAAGCTTAGCCCATGTGCATCTTAGATGGTGGGCCTGGCTGCCTGTTTGCATAGGATCACAGTCACTGAAAAACTTAAAGCATATGGTTCTACTCTGACACACACAGGGCCACCATGAACAGAAATCAACTTTACAGCAACTGGCTTGGTTTGGTTTGGTTTGGTTTTCTTGGCAGAGGGGCTGGGGGGCAAGACGGTCTTAAGTGTTCTTCCTCCTATTCTAGTGCTCATCCAATCATAGTATCCTGCCTTTTATAAACAACTTTTATTTTAGAAACACTATGCTACCAAACCCAAGATGGATGATTTTAATCTGTGGCCCTCAGGCCTGGTTTAAATTGTCTTTTGTCAAACATTCTTCTAAGTAGAATAGCACTGGTCTGTGCATTGCGGTACAGAAGTAACTCATAGTTGCTGATATGCTAAACACTGTGACACTGATGTGCCAAATGTGATAATGGTTACCCATGGTGGACATAGTTTGGTGGAGCGTCCCAATTAAATCAAGCTTGGAAGCAGGAGTGGCATCCACTTCTGAAATAGCTTGCCTCCGGAAACTCTATGAACATGGAGAAACAACCAAACTTATACAAGTGTTCAGGTCTTTCATTCATAGGGTCGCTATGAGTCATCTACAAATTGACGGCACTTAACAACAACAACAACAAAAGGGGGAAAGAAACAAGCACAGAAGGAGAAAATCCAGTTACAACAAGAAAGAAGAGCAGGAGTAGGACATGTCCTTTGGACCTGGCTCCTTGTACTGAGAATCTCTTAGACCCAAGAGAAGATTGATGCCAAGAAATGTGAAGATTTGTAAGGGATACCAAGTTCACAGGCATCAAAAGGGTGGAAAGATCTGCCCATGAGCAACAAAAAAAGATTGTTGTTGTTGTTAAGTGCTATCAGTCATAGGCAACTCATAGTGACCCTATGAACCAAAGTCCTCGACAGTTGTGTGACTTTTATTACCTTCCCTTAAACTGGAACCCTGAATTTAGACTTCTGCTATTGTTTGTGCCATTGTGTTGCCTGTGACTCATAGCGACCCTATGTACAACAGCTCTGAAGCCCGCGCTGTCCTGAATCAACCTCACTGTCTCTGATACACCTAACCCCATTGCCCTAGTTACTGTATCATCTGACTCATCCAGGATCTTCCTTTCCTGCGCTGTCCCTCAACCCTTCCAAGCATGACGTCTTTCTCCAACAACAGTCCCTCCTAGCCACATGCTTAAAGTATATGACACAGAGCTTCAACATCCTAGCTTCCAAGAAGAAATGTGGTTTCATCAGACCTATTTATT